AGAAATAGATATCGTCGTTAAAATTAATTAATTTTCCAAAATTATACGATGAAAACTAACAATAAAACTATGACTAACGTTCATTAACAAAATGTCAACGTATAATTTATTTTAATTCAGTTATCTTTCTAAATGATTATTTTCCTTACCACATTGTTGACGTCCGCGCCGTTGTCTATAGCAACTTCTAAACATTTATAATGTCGTTTTGTTGGATATATACAATAAAAGCAAACTCCTTTTCCTTCGTTATCGCATGCTTAAAATTAGAAAGAGTGGATAATGCTATTATTAATTAATCTACAATGGTTTATCATCTATCAGATTACAAAATTTTTAAAACAAAAAGAATTCGTCTTAACAATTCATTTATAGTTAAAAATTTATTATCAATGCCGCTTGTTATATTTAAAAAAATCGTAAGCATTTATAAGTGACAATGAAGATAATGCAAGACTTCTGGATTGAATCAAATCATGACTAACATACTGTATATATATATCTGTATTAAAAAGTATCAGATCATAATCGGTACTAAAACCGTAGGCTATTTGAATGTAATATCTTAACAATATCGTCTGTTTAAAGCGATAGAGAAGTGGTTGTAAACTATCTCATAAATTTACAAAGTTGCTTTTTACACATATCAGATTATGTCATTGTAAACTATATACGATAGTTGATAAATTATAGAACCAGGCCTTATAAACCTTAAACGCAATATGAAATTTACTATACCTAGTAGACTTGCTTCAGCTTCAACAAGCATTTCGAAAACTTGAATATGACCTAATTCTGCAGCTTTCATAGCAGGTGTTCTTCCTTTCATATCAGTCATATCGGGATTGGCGTCTAGGTCGATTAAAAATTGTACCATTTTCTCGTCATTAGCACATGCTGCTAAGTGTAAAGCTGTATTTCCATTTTCCGGTTCTATCATCATTTTTAATAATCAGTAAAGAAGAAGCAAGATCATAACGATTAGTAATTTCTCCATTGCTATTTAATTGATACGCTGATCAATATTTAGAATTAAAAGGAAGACATGGCATAAAGACATTATGTTTAAAATTATTATTATTGCGATCCAATACATTATTTACTGATAAAAACGATATTTGCTTAATTAAATACAGCCAAGTTGTTATAAAAATTTTTGTGATCCTTTCATTAATATGTTAAAAATGTGATCGAAAATCAAAGATATTTTGTACGTGCACGTATATCTAACCAGCGAATGAAGCAAAGTTAGTTACTACACTAGCAGAGCTATTGTAATGATCAATAGTTGGACGTTTTTTTACTAATATGTCGATAGAATAGAAGCACGTAAATATGCCGGTGTGTAGGATGAATAGAATAAAAGCCAGTTCGGTTTAATACTTAGTATTTATAAAGACTCGATATACAAGATATCAATGTTAAGAAAATAGTTGTAATCTTTCTCCATGGGCTAATAGAATAAAAGCAGTATCCAGTTGAAAAGTTTTTGCATTAAGAAAATTGAATGTAACAGAAATATTTGATTCCATAAAAATAGATAATAGATCAACAAAAAATTTCAACTTTGATAAATTAATTAAGTTTGCTTGGAGAGTTGATATTAAATATGAGGTGGCTTCCAGGGTAGCTTATGAAGCGATATGGGAAATTAATATCGGAATAAAATCGTTGTAATTAATATTATAGTAAATACGCGCAACTTCAATTGGGACATGGACTAATCGCCAACACAATCATAGGTGAAAAGCATTCAGAGATTTTACATCAATATTCATAATGGCTTTGTTTGGGCGATTCTGTTATATCCAATTGTGTTACCAACAAGGGAGTGCCTTGGTTCTTATAATGATTAAACTACTGTAAAATGTGTTGAGTATATTAATCTGTAAAAGGTGATTACCCTTAAAATATTATGACTAGCCAAGATTTAGTTACTGACGACTGTACGGCAAACCTTTGCTAAAAAGGTATATTCATACGTTATTTTGATTATACGGTAAAAAATTTGTTTTTACCAACTAATTAAATATTTGATGCAACTATTTTATACCTAATTTCTATGCTTACAACAAAATCTAGCGTGTGCACTCTTGATTTAATTTGGACAAATTAATCATCAACCTGCTTGGATCGTTTATGATAAGAAGTGATGATATCTACAAGATCGCTATAATACTTTAACAACGATCCTGAATAGAGGATAAGGAATAGCGTTGCAGTCGTAAATTAGTCTTGGCATACTGACTAAGAATCAATATTGTGTAGTGGGTCCAACTTGATGTGCTTTATTTAGGAAGAACTTGAAAGTAGTATGATAGATAGCTAAGTTTATCGTGAGTTTTGAACTTTTTAACTTGATATTTTCAATGCAGTAACTCAATAGTACGTATATATCGCTTTAAATCCATTCTTAACTTAAATATATTAATATTATTTTAAGAGTAGGTCAAGTTTAGCTTTTATTAAGGTTATTGTCCGTCGCTGTAATCATGATTAAAATAGAAGATATCACAAATACTATCATATTGTCTTTTACTTACCGGAGTAGTTGATAAGTTGAGGTACTCCATGTGTCGTAAACTTTTCAATTTGTTGCGTTTCTTGTTTACGGACGCATTGGAGAAATTTATGAATTTGTAATAATTCTAAACGCGATTGAGCAATTGGCATGGTTTATTTTCATTCGCTATAACCAAGAACGCCAATAAATGAATAACTGAATATGAAATATAAAATTTTGATAGAAGTTTCTTTCTTTCGCTAAGAGGTAATAGCATAAACGTGATAAATTAAGCGCAACTACGCCTATAACTCAAAACAGTATATTTTATCGTCGGTAGTCGCTATCCAGAAACATTTTTTCCATAGGACACGATGACTCTAGTTGATAGATGAGTTAAGATGTATAAGGAAATGATCCAATTTTTCAACTATTGCAGTGATGATAACTTCAATCGTAAAGTGTCTATTTAAAATCGTTGAATGTGAGTTGGAAAGTTAAAAAGAAATGGGGGGAAATTAGCGATTAATGTCGTGATTGAGTGCAACAAAAACTAATTCTATCGTATGTGTAGACAAATTAGCTAGCAAGAGTCGATCTACTTAATAGAGTTGTCTATATTAACTGGGAAAGTAATAGTATCGCTATGCGACTAATTACTAATGTAGTAAATGACATAAGCGTATTGTTTTAGCTCTAATTTAGCCTGGAATTTCTATCAAACAGTCGATAGTTGCGTTAGTGTCTATAGAAGACTCGATGTGATAATATTGTGCGGATTACAACTACTCAAACAGGCCAATTTCCTACAGCAATTGACTCGATCATTGGACATATTCTTCGTTAGAGAAAACTGTTTCCATGATGTATATACAAAATTGCCTAGAGACGCAATTGTTGCTAGGGAAATATAAACAACGAATAATGTTGAGGATGGCTGCGTGAACAATTGATCACGTGATTCGATGCAGAGCAAGGTGAAATAAATATCGTATTTGCGGTACAGTACGCTATACAGTGACGCCGATTATACCATGCAAGCCATACAAAGCCTATGATAGATGTCTCCATCGCCTTCAATCCTAGGTTAGGCAGTATTCCAGCTCTATATATCACTAATAACGCATAGTTTCTAGAGACTTTGAAAGTCTATCAAGAAAATAGAAAATGCAACTATGCATACATGTACATATCTCGTAAATGCTCCATCAGGGGAATTATACTGGTACAGTACAGTACAGTACGAACGGTCTACTAGTTAAATAGCTATAATTAATTAATTAATTAGTCATAAGTTATTGCATACTACTACATTATATTAGTACCCCAGTTGCGGTGTAGTGCGCTATACTATGACGCAAATTATGCCATGTAAATCATACAAAGTCTATGAAGAATGGCTGGATCGCCTGCACCAACTTTCAGTTTTGCGAGGTGTACTTATGATTTGAACTATTATTTCAAACGAGTAAATTACCAGTTCAAATGAACGGGAACATAATCTCCGTAAAGTAATACATTAAATGAAAATTTGCAGCTAGATTATCCTAATATATATGCTTCCTAGATAAGTGCGATATTCAATCAAGTTTATAGAAAAAATAATTTATATATTACCTATTGTATTTATGCGCGATTTATTTTTGAGCTGATTTTTAACTGGCGACATAGCTCGTAGCTGATATTTGTTTATGGTTCTACTTTCAATTACGGTTTACATCGATTGGTTTTTTTTACAGAAAAGAGGCATTAAATTAAATTAAAAGTCGGATTTGAGCAAGAAGTTCTGTGCTTGATTTTTATTGCGATAGCACCACATTATAATTATGAACTTATTGAGATTATTTTTTAATTTTTTATATTAATTCAATATATACTCTAAGCTGTTATTTTGCCTAGGCAAAGACAATTATAATTCTGAGTCTATACAGTATTAATATATCCGAAATGGTGAATAAACGGATAATTATTCTTTAAATGCACACTTTCATGCTTTATTGTCTATTTGTTTTTCAATTAATTGTAATATTGCGTTCGTTGTTGACCAGAATAGTTACGCGCCATCATCATTTCGTTTCGATTACCGTAATCTATGGATATGGAAAGGTAGTTAATGCTAGTTTGAATAGGGTTTATAGCACAAGATTGAATTATTATTAACACAATATTTCTCAAGATTTTAAAGTAGGACTAAATAAATAATGCAGTGGTATGAACCAATAACGATACCTAAATCATCAGGAGAATAGCTATCATACTGAGAATTCATCGGAATACCATCTGCAAATTGTTCTCCATATTCAGCTGCATATTCTGCTGCATATTCGGCTGCGTATTCTGGAGGGACTTGATCATAGCCATACTCATCGCGAAGTGAAATTCCTTCATCTTGTCCGCCTACACTGACTATTGAACCAACCATGGAACACCAAAGAAGACGTGTTTAATAAAAGTTGAGTTTGATGCTATAGCGCTAAACTATCTTTCAACCTCTAGTCTACGTAATATTATGGTGATGGCTCAATAAATGATACTGATCACTTATACCTGCATCATACGGAATATCTCCATAAAATAATTCCGGCCGATCTAATATGTCTGCTTGATATTCTTCATCATCTTCAAATATGCCTGCATCGTTACTGTTAACAGACTGATCTCGATTTTCAATCATGTCAAGCCATTGGGAATTATGCCAACGGAAACGTTCATTACGAATTTTTTTCGCCCATTCTAAATCATAATCCTTGATATAATGTATCATAATACGTTCAATATAAACAAGATTAGGTATTGAAATTTTCTCATTTGAATTTAAAATCTCTAATCAATATCTCAGTGTAATTTGCATACCATTATAACATCTAGTGCGCCTTCGCATATTGTTCTAATCTCTTTGTTCTTGTCGTGCATTAGGTCTACAAAGTATGCTGTCGCTTCTGAAAATGTACGTTAAGGTAAATATACCTAAATATCCAGATAAACGCGTAGAGCTTTTTGCTATTATCAATGTAGAATGCATATATAATCGATATAATCTATCCTTCCTAAAACAAGTAGAAGAGCTATACAATTTAATGTCAGGATACGAGACTGCTGAATGGTTATGTCTCTCGTAGTATCATGAAATAGTAGCTGATAGAAGACGTACATGACTTGCAGTACAATTTCGTCATCTTCTTGCTTAGCTGCAAAGCAAATACAGAACTTTAAAACGTAGAACCAATTACGTTTGTTGCAGGAAAAAAATTCCGATAATTTTTTAACTTAATATTACTATCCGATTTCGTACCATTTAATAAATTAATTAGAGAGTCGACAACGCCTTGACTAGCCAATGCAGTAGCACATTCTTTGCTCTGACTCAGCGTCGCTGTTACCATAACGGTGACAAGTAATAGATCATCTTCACCTGCACCTACTTGCCAATATATGTTTGCAAGTTAATAACTATATCGCAGATACCATAATGAAAACTGAAGTGAATATTTTTCGTAGTAGTTATTAAATTAAATTAAAGATAATTTTCCTTTCGCAGTAAAATTGCAACTAACCGAGCTGAAGATTTTTCATTAAGACTTTATCCAAATTATACTGGGTAAATAAACGATAATAATTTAGATTGGGAAAGGAAATATTGGCAATTATTCCTAATGCCTCTATAACTACGTCTTCATTGCTTTCGTTTCCAACGATATTACCCATTTCTGATAAGTAGTTCTAAATTGAATAAAAACACATGAAAATGATCAACTTTAAATAAAATTATTGATAAATTTAAGTAGTGTAAATAAAATATTAAATAATTACAATTTATTTTTTGTCACCGTACTTTAGCTTTTACATTTTAACAATATATCAAATTGAATAGACTTAATATTATAGTATAATGTGATTATGTCGCTAACTTCAAATTTCTATTTTCAACAAAGATTGAAAACGTTAAAACTCGTTTATTGCGTAGTTAATTGGTATATTAGCCTATTTAATTCAGATATTATTGTCTACCGAAAGCCTTATCAATATATTGAAATTATGGCACTGCTAGTAATTAATATAATTACCGAACGGTGCATGATAACTGTTATGCTTATCATATAACCTTCATGCTATGAAGTTGAACTGAAAATCTTATATAGTATAAAATTTTTGCTCATAATGAATTTACCACAAATTGCTTTTGCAACGATTTATGTTGAGACACATTTCGTAACATCTTTAATAGTAAAGGATCTTTAAATTTAATCGCTCTCTTCATTAACAATTTTAATCCTCCACCATCGCAAATTAAATCGGCATTGCGCTTATTTGCGACTAAATTAATTATGAGAGCAGCTACTTCGATATCGATAACACCAGAAGGGCTTTCAAGAATTAATTGCATCAACTAGATGAATAGGAAACGATGAATTTTAGATTATACATTGATTTTAAAACAATTTTCTGCTTAGCCATTATTAAAATGTTTTTTGCAATTATAAACTGCGTTTACTAATGATTAGTAATCATTCGAATATGCAGTCGCATAAATTTACACACTTCTACGTTATTTTCAATAATATGTCCTTGTGTTTGTACAATATTAATTTATCACATCGGAAAAGCATGCTATTGAAAATGATGGCTTAAAAGAGAATCATTATAGTTCTAACACTTACACTATTTAAGCTGGAAACGCTTATTGCTTACCTTAGGTATACATTTCGATTGTATAAAAATGGCTTTATATTTATCATTAATGCTTATGTGATACAAAATGCAAATGGCAACCGTCGCATGTTTGCTGTTATCTGTAATTAATATAAAATTCCGGTATATCATAAAGCGCTTCTTAAAGTGACAATTTAGTAGCACTTGAAATGAAATAATTAGATCTAATTTTTAGGTATCTTATGGGGCATACTACATAAGTAAACAATACGTGACAAGTTATGGCAACTAACCTAATATGTTTATTAACTTTGGTACTATTCCGACCTTAACCATTTGCGCTCTTAATTTATTATCAAATGACAGATTGAGAAGATAGCGCAATGTAACGTTGGTCAGGCCCTATTGCAAATAAATCGAAAGTCCATGTTAATTTAAATTAAAATAATTGTTACAATTCGTGAATGACCTATTAACATGAGAATTACCTCGTTTGGTATATTAAGGATCAATACCAGCTTTTTAACAATGTTAAGATCGATCTGTGAAAAAAAGTTTTGATTAAGTTTACATTTATACCGATATCTGCTAATCGACTTATCAATATATCATGTGAAAAACATTCTACAGTTTTTGCTTGAATCAGCAATCATACCAATAAAATAAATTATTTCAGGCAATTAGTGTACCCTTGTTAATCTTTGATATTTATCAGTTATTTTTCTAACTCGTTTATTAATTTTAGGCGCCATTGTTAATTGACACCGAAATTATATGTATCTACATATAAAATCGTACCATTTCCGAAATATTTTCTGTAAAAATGCTCAATTTCTTTAGGAATGAAACAGTTAATATCAGTAACTCTTGATTGTCCCTTCCTAATAGTGTTATTAACATTGGAATAATTTCCTTATTCTTCATCTTTACTTCAACTCTGATGTCTTCTGATAAATTTAACAATAGATACAGAGAAACTAGGAAGAAAGCAGAAGTTTACATATTACTAGAGGAGTAATTTTACGTAGCTCGGGATAATTTACTTTCCGTATTTTCCGTTATTATTTTTGTATGAGCATTGCAATGAAGTAAAGTAATTTTAGATATTATGAATTACCTCGCAAGAGCTGATTCTGTTTGTCGACCAAATTTCGAAATTTTTTATAGCTTTTTTCAAAATCCTTTTTCAGTTGCGGATCTTTATCGGGTGGGATTGGTTAAGAGTAATAACTATAAATTTTCTTATTCAACTCATATTTGATTACGTATTATTATCATCAATTACAGCATATTTTTAAATAAAAATTAGTAGAAACTAAAAGGATATCCAATGCTTTTTTCTTATTTAATTCTTCAGCCCAAGTTTGATATCGTTTAATTTCATAATCAGTAATTGTCATGCTGAGTGCACCAATTTTATAGTGAGCTACGATGTTATGAAACTGGCTAAACGTTGATAAACAGAAAAAGATGTAAATAATGTTGGTAGCAACTTCCGTGCTCTTTTTCCAGTCTTCCCGTAGTATGCGAGACAATGCTCCAAGTAGAGTTTCTTTTATTGAGAACATATGAAAAATTAGTAATCACTTAAGGTTCCAATTCAAATAAAGGTTTTATAATATAGAGTCGCTATAACAATCTACGGAGCAGAGAGCTTTATAAAGTATATAAGTGGAACAGTTTACCATTTTGAACTAATTCTTCCAGGTTATCTGGATATCTTGATAATTGCAATATCATTCCGGTACCATAAATTTTTTCGGGAAGCTCTTCATATAACATTTCTATGTACTCATCGATATCATTAATATTAGCCTGTTTGCCATTTTCTGTATCTGCAAAGGGATCTTTCGGCTTCGATTCTAGCTTATACTCTTTTTCCAACTTACTTTCCACTAAAGCGAACAATTATAAAATGTGATATTTCACTTATAGTGGATAAGTATTTTCACTTCTCCATATAATATACGATAGATCTTGGAAATTTCATGAGAAGAAGGCAAAGTTTTCTTGACATAGCTGTCATCTATCAAATCTATGTTGTGTAATATTACTTACCTTTTTCTGATAGCTTTCTATTTTGTAAATAATAAAGAAGTTGCTCAACTTCTGCCAATCTAGAAGGATGAATTAGCTTGCATTTGTCGACTAATTCCTTTGCTAACTTTGATATCTTTGTATCTTTATTAAGACTTTTAACTCGAATCCTGTTATTTATAAATACCCAGTTTTACAATAGAAAGCAAATATTCAATTACATCTTTACAGATTAGTAATATTATCCTAACGTGAATTCAAATCTTAAATTGAGATATGTATTACTTACACTTTTTTACATTCTTTTTTCTCACCAAGCATCGGATCACCTAAATCACCTAAGATAGTAGCTTCCACTTCATAAGTTACTAGTAAAGCGTTCTCGGTTGGATGGACTTCAATTTGTCCTCCTTTGACCTTTCTGCAAATGTAAGCATTATTCATTGAGTTATCATTATAAAACTTACATCATTATATCCAATGTCCTTATTTCAATGCAATATAATACAATATTTGTGTTCACTTGCGTGTATATGAATATCAGTGCATGTTGCAATTTAATATTTCAAAATTGGTCAATAGAATACGATTCTGCTAGAAAGGCAGACGTTGTCATTATGTTGAATTTAAGTAATTTTCTCGAATTTTTCTTTAAGCTATATCATCCAAATAACTATCAATATTCTTTTGTAGAAAGTCTATGTGTAATTAATAAAATCATCGAGAGAGGTATCTCAGGTTAGCAATGGTATTGATGTATAAAGTAAGATGAGTGCAGCAGCGTATATGAAAAAGTTAGAATTCAGAAATGTACAAGCACGGCACTAATGTAATCTGTAATTGAAATTAGAATTTGATACTATAAATTATAGTAATTATTACAGTGAAATTAGTGCAAGATCGCTGTATCATAACTAAAATTTATCGCACAACATGGGAATAATATCGTAATTAATAAACTAATACAATAATAGGATAGTCAAAGATATTTTTACTAGTACTCTATGTATAACACACCTTTTAAGAAATCTGGCATCTTCTGACTGCATCATCTTGAACCTTTTAGGAGTAACGGGTTTACCAACAACTGTACCGTTGAGTGACTACTGCGTATTAATGATATCCTTCTAAAAGGATAAATGAAATAGATCTTGTTATATTAATTTTATAACTATAACATGATTGCAGCATTATTCATTTAGGTTAGGACAAGCCGAAAGTCCGTGTTTACGGTATAGGGGTAATCGTAAGGATTGATAAAATTGAGTAACATTGAAGTTTTATAGATCTCAATATGTATCATATCAGTGTTTAAAATGTAAGAATACGATTGTAGCTACTGACTGATTGAAAAAATTAGAAAAGTTGAATATTAAGTTATACGAATATGGTACCAAGTGAGGCTCTATCGAAATTCGACATACTTGAAGAACAAGAAATTATTGCAAAATATAAATTCATCACTCTACAGTATAGTAATACTATCTTACATGCTATACTACTGTACATTTAAGTATATATGTTACCGTATTTCAACTTGAATTGATCTATCATATAGCGGGAAGAGGATTTTCTTAATGCCAATTGGCGGTTGTGTACATTTACAAATCTTCGACAACAACGTTATCGCTTATTTAGAGAGGAATATTACCGGTACTAAGTGGTATGGTATCAGTAAGTACTCTTTATACAGTAGATGGCTCGTTTGATGATCTCAGCCTAGTCCTAAATCATATATTCATATCCTACCTCACGGTAGCGATTCATTTGTACAGTATATTTAAATATCCTTTCCTATATCTATCCAGTGCTCTAGTATGCCCTAGGCCGTAAGGGTTAACTGGCCCGTGTCGCAGTTGTCATAGTAACATTATTACCATCTCGTTTAGTCTCGGCCGTGGTACTGTGTTAGACCAATTGGGCCAGATGATACGCAACAAGCACAGTCGCATTGTACAGTATACTTATACTATATAAAATGCCTATGGCATCAAAGCAAGTATAGAAATAGGAGACTTTAAATAGCTGAATGAGCTAGCTACTTGCTGCTTTCTCCGAATTTCTTGAATGTAGATTGGAAAACGACAACTTCTACTCTACTGTATACTGAGTGTATAGGCGTGAAGAAAATCAAGATGATGCACAAAATCAGGCTAATACTCTATAGTACAGTATAGACAAGGCGCGCGATCGCGTACACAGTGGTACTACAGCGCGATCTTCAACTCCAGGTCCCCCAATTCGTACAGTATTTTTGTCACAGTACATAGTACTGTAAGGGACAGTGTGTGTACTGTAGTATTGTACTGTATACGAGGGTCTACGCAATCTGTAGTTGGATTATTTGCGCAAGCGTAAATACAACAAACTCAATGGCTTTCATGGTGGACAGATTTTAGATCGAAATGTTTGCAAAATTAAGGAAGCAACTCGCTGATGAAACAAGCGATGGATCTAAACCCAAGCCTACCAAAGTGAATACAATACCTGATAATCAAGAAGCAACTAGTATAGATGATAATACTGGTAAAAAGAAGACGTCTATTGGCAATACGACGACTTCTCCTGCTATTAAAAGCTATTCCGCTAGCTCCAGTAGCACTTCTCCAAGCAAATTTTCTTTTCCTGATGTGAACAGGGAAACTGAAGCTAAGGTAATTTCTCCGATTTCTCCTTTTCATGATCGTAGATAGTAGTCTATTTCTTGATGATCGGTTTAAGCGTTTATTCTTTTCATACACTTATTTTTTCAACTGGTTTATGGACAGGAGGAAACAAATACAAGAGATGATAGAACCCACGAATTAGAACGTCAACTTGAAAGTAATTATATTAATGATAATGAATGAAAACGTAATCTACGCCGATCGTCGTTAAAGTTGACTAAAGATTGATCCATTTTTATAACGGTCTAGTTATGATACTTGCAGGAATGAAGTTATAGATATTGCTTTAGTCTGATAGTAGATATTAGATAGTTATTTTTGGACTACAGTCATAACTTACATAGTGAATAAATATCTTCCTAGACGTGTACTTATAACTCTATCCAAAGTGGGTAAATAGCGCATATGTTAAACATTTATACAAACGATAACATTTACAATTCCGTATTGAACTAGTCTATTTTCCTTTATCGTTGTATTAGATTTGCGTAAAAGTTTTAAAGATCTGACAAAGACAAATGAATTACTCCAAAGTTCTTTATCTAAAAGACAAGATGGTAGCTACCTTTGTCTTCTACAAATATCCCTTCTGAAGTTGTATTTTGATTGTTATTATTATTATTTTAACAAGGTAATCTTATTTATCTTACTAGCTAATCATGAGCGTAGTCGAGATACTCATTCAACAAGTAAGACTAAAGCATCAGATGATTTGCAGGAGCAATCCAACGACCTAGAGGTAACAGATATGAATGTAAATATTAATTCTTATTTACCAACGTTTACTGAGATAAACTGTAGCTGCCCTTACTTTTACATGTCGACGATTAAAGTCTTATTGCTAGTAATGATTGCTGTAAGATTATACATAATTTTGACAACAACGTAGCCTTACATAGTTGTGATAAAATACAGAATAAACTAATTATGATGTGATTTTATAATAGGAAAAAAGTCATCCCATAGCTGAGTCACAGCTTTCACAAAGTTCTCGTGATGAATTAAAGAATATGAAACAACAAATAAGTTCTATGCAAGAAAAGTACAAAGAATTAGAGCACACTTATGATAAGGTTTATGCCTTTTATGTAAATAAGGCCAATTTAGTAATTGTCTTTTTGATCCTGTCACTTAACCTTTTTAAATTAGGAGAAAAAGATCTCTAAGGATAAAACAACGAAACTGGAAAAACTAGAAGCTGAATTTGAGTCCTTTAAAGTTAAAGTAATAAGATAGTTTTGGATTCAATCTTTGCAACAGGAATAGACTGTAATACTTATTATCGAAACTTATCGCATGCTTGTAGGAAGCAAGTAAAAAAGCAGAATTAAATGAGTTACAAAGTTGGCAACGCGAAGAAATTATGCAGTTGAAGCAAATGGTAAATTCCACAGTAGATACTTGAGCTCTCATCATTGCATTAAAAATAGTAATTTTTGTCGCCTCTACCATCACAGTTACTTAAATGTCAGGATAGTTTGTTAAAAGCAGAAAATGGACAGAAAGAAGCTACTGAGGTATATTAAAATATAATAAAGAACTATATCAATATTGGTAGCTAATTGTTGTTTATTATTTATAGCGCTTAGATAAAGTTACGGTGGAATGTGAAGCCAAGAAAAGTGAAATAAAAGATCTTAGGGCTTGCATTGACGAAATAACTACGGATCGGTATGACGATATCGACTTAGCTCACTAATATTGCGTAAAATACGAACATATTTAAATTTTCGTTTTCTTGTTAACATTAGTGATGAATTTATAAGAAGAGAAAAAGAGACTAAGCGAAATTTGAAAGAAGGACAGAGTTTGTTGGATTCATATAAGCAGCAAGTAGAAAGTTTGAGTAAAGAAGTAAGAATGAAAGACTAGTATTGATATAAGAAGAATATGTTTTTTACTTTAAAGTACATATAATTGATTACTTGATACGCCCGTAGGTATCATCTATTCGATCATCACATGCTAATGTAGAGGAAGTTGGCATGATTGAGAGAAAGAGATTGCAGCAAGAGGTAAATACTTCCATACGAAATTAAAGGAAATGCTGTTTAACATATTTGAGTTTATGTTATGCTTATCTGTAGATTGTGTCCAAAAATTCCAATATAATCGATTTAGAAGAGAAAGTGAAAGTTTTACAGCAAAGGTAATTGAGTCATTTCATTTAGATTACTGAAGGTCATGATACCAATCTTCAATAACTACGTGTATTATTAGACTAGAGACCGCTCAACTACCTGATAATGACGAAAAGCTACAAGCTGTTGCGAAAGAAGTATGTATTACGTAGCATTAACATAATAATAATACGTGTACTGATATTAGAATTGTATGTCTATATGTTATTACCTACTAATTACGAATTAATACTAGTATTGGTATTACTTAAATAACCTGTATCACGATTAATTCTCATAGAGAGATATATTAGAAAAACAGATAGAAGAGATAAAGCAAGATTTTTATCAAACAAATTCAAAATCTGATGAGCTGGTAAGCGATTAAATTTAGCCAGATTCTATGATGAAGTATTGCTTTGCCTCGTCATTAATTTGCGAAAAGTAGTCACTTGCCTGTATATTTTACTATGTTATAAAAGGTTAATAGCCTAACAGTTGCTCTGAATCGAACTAAAGCCGAACTAATGCAATCAGAAACTTCTGCAACCAGCAGTATTGGTCGCTTAACGAAAGATGTATGTAGTGATTTGAATAGAATTCGATAACTTGCACTCGAATGATCCCGGTTTATAATTCATAAATTAGATCGAAGAACAAAAATTAAATAGCCAAAAATTGCAAGAAGAAGCTGAATCTGAGATCTCTAGCTTAAAGGAGAAAGTAAGAAATTTCTCGTAATTGTAATTTGTGATTATGTGACTTTTTAATTAATGAAATAAAATTAATACATCTTTAAGGTTGAAACATTACAGAACGACTTAAGAGCTAGAGAACAAGCACTTAGGGAAACCGATTCTTGCAATATCGAAAAAGTAAAAATTCACTGTATATCGTATTGTAATTTTTGTCATTTTATATTACAATGACGTAATCAGCTTTGCTAGATTTCGCAACTAGTAATTATATTATTACTTAACAACTTAGACCTCTGTATTAGAAGAAAAACTTGCCGAGACTGAAATTAAATTTAGAAATCTTGACAAAGCATCAACTGAAAAGATTACTCGCTTGCAGCAACAGGTATTGTGTTCAATAAGAAATAACCTAATTATAAAAGCTCGGTTGTTAATAATACTAAATTATGGTAACTTTTCAGTTAAATGAAACCGAAACACTATTAAATAATGAAAGAATGATTGCAGAGCAGAACCTGGTTAGTGTGATTGCAGTCAATGAAATTTTTAAATTAATGCTTATTAA